AGACCCAGAGCTCCCGGGTGTGAGGACCTCCCTCTGCAGTGTAGACCTCACAGCTCACAGGGGAGACCCAGAGCTCCCAGGTGTGAGGACCTCCCTCTGCAGTGTAGACCTCAGCARGTCAGAGGGGAGACCCAGAGCTCCCGGGTGTGAGGACCTCCCTCTGCAGTGTAGACCTCACAGCTCACAGGACAGACCCAGAGCCCCCAGGTGAGGACCTCCGTCTGCAGCAGGAGTGCTCTGTGGGGAGCGCCTTGGTGCTCTTTCCACTCTGCACTCCTCCTCCTCACCTGGCCTCACGGGGCTCAAACACCCAGCGAGGCAGACTCGCTGTGCGGCCTGGGGCTTCTTACCTGCGAGACAGTGATGCCACACTTCTTGGCTAGCTCCTCTTTTGCTTCCTCACTGGGGTAAGGGTTGCTGAGGTGGGAATAGAAGTACTCGTTCAGGATCTCCGTGGCTTGCTTGTTGAAATTCCGTCTCTTCCGCCTTTGTAAAGAGAAAGGAAAGGTAACAACAATAAAACCTTTACCCCATATAAGCACAAGAAGGGAGAGAAGAGGACCGACTTCTGGGGAAAGGCACATTTTTGAGCAAAAGGAGAATTAGAGTGGCCGGGGACTGGATGCCAGAACCCCTGGAAGTGTGCACCCCTTCCCCGGGTCTAAAGGAAGGGATGCAGATGCATTTGCACAGAGCTGCGAGGAGGAGCAGGAAGTCTCAGAGGTGGGGCCCTCTTGGTGTGGAACCCCAGGCTGGTGATTCGGGTTGCCTCTCTGGGCCTTGTGTTCGCTTCACTGACAACGGTGAAGAGAGCCGTCCTGAGCCCCCAGGTGAGCATAGCAGGGAAATGCAGCCAGACAAATGCCCAGCAGAGTGCCCAGCAGGCTGAAGCTGGCCCTGGGTGGCCCCAGGTCTCTCTGCTCGGCTGGCTATCAGCCCTGGAATTCTCTTTTCTTAGCTAGTGAGGTGGACCGGCTCCTCCTAGGCACAGGTGAAGAACTGCTTGCAAGGTCTCGGGTGGCCTGCCGTGGGGCCCTGGCTTCATTCAGGTCTGCCCGCCTGTGGAACAAACGCAGCCTCTTCCTTCTAGCAAACTGCCCCCTAACGATTAGGCAGACCCTGCAGCCACAGTTAAAAATAAGTTATCGCTTTCTGTCCGCTCTATCCCAGTGCAAATGCATGCAGCATTTAAAAGGCACCTGGGGAAGAGGGCAGGGAACAGACTGAGATCACCCCTGACTGTCGGCTTCCCTCGAAAGGAGAGAAGTGGCCCTTCTGAGCAAGAACAGCTGCTAAGTGGTAAAACAAAGCCCAGGAAACCTTTCTCACACACAGGTTGCCAAAAGGAAGGAGGCCACTTCTGAATGAAAGCATCTTTCTGCCTTTTCACAAAAAGTGCTAATGGAACTAATTTGAAGTGAGAATCCCTGTACTTCCACCCAGCCAAGGCCTGCAGCTGGCGGGGAGCTGCTTAGGCAGGCTGCGCTCCTGGCAGACCTGCGTGGCCTCCTTGACGTGGTGGGCCCTTCATCTTTAAATTAGCTCTATTAGCACTTTAGTCTTTCTGGCTTTTATCAAAAGCTTTTCCTTATGGAAAAGATTTCCGGAACCTCCTGGTTATGTCCGGATACAGAATTTCCCAATTTAGCCAACAGAAAGCACCGATGGCCTTGCTAGACAGGAAATTCAGCTAATATTGTGTTTCCAGGGTCCCACTTGGATTAATTAACACAATAAAGTGCCTGATTTTACCGGATGAACACCATCTGTCCACAGGTATCGACCACATCTGTCCAGATTATGCCAAGCCCAAGTCACTCTCCCAAATCATGCTGAGTTTCCGGGTCACCCAGCATCAGAAATTGGACAGATTGGATTAAAAAGCCCAAGTAAGAAGAGGCATGTGATGAAAGCTCCTGCAGGCCGGACTCTGGGGAAGGCAGCCGCGTGGCTCCGGCTCCAGCTTATCCTGAGACACCCCCTGGCTGCTGCTTTGCTGAAGGCAGGGGTCCTAGGCCTGGGGAACGGGCCCCAAGTCCCCTGCCTGGGAGAGCCTCGGGTCTCCCCTCCCTGTCTGCATGAGCACGATGGGACTCTTCCAACTGCGCTCCAGGAAGCTTCTGGAATGGCCGTGCTGTGGGTGGAGTGGACAGCTGGAGAGGGCCCCCGCCCCTGGACGCGCTCACCACCTGTATGGAAGCTGTCTGTCAAGGCCCTTGGGGGCCCTAGGATCAGGACATTTCAGAGTTTCGGGAGACAGTGAGAACAACCCTTTCTGAAGGGAAGAGGGTGGCACCTGGTTTCCGTGTGGTGGCTGGAGRCCTGACCAGCACACTCAGTGGACACCCATGACTTCAAACCCATTGGATGCTCTGACAGTTGAGTATCTTGGTTTTTAACTTAAGAAACATGGATGCTGGATAATGTCGCTGGACCACAGTGTTCCAGGGACGGGAACCTTTCGAATCACAGGGCCCAGGTAGACATTTTTCATAAGACTGGCGGTGGTGAGACCCAGGGGGGTCACAGACCATAAGTGGACCTCAGGCAGCCATCACCATGTCCACTGCATGTCCAGGCAGCTCCCAACAGTTTCCAGAACTAATTCCACCTCCACCAAGCCGGCTCCGTTGTCCTGCACCCACGTTACTGGGTGGGCCCTCCGACTCCACTTCCGTGGTTGCTAATTCATTCATGCACTCAACTCTTTCAGTCCCAGCTGGTGCCAATCCTGAGTGTGACTAAGCTCTGCTGCTTCCTGGGCCTCGTGAACGGCTGTCCCCAAAGCCAGTCCTGCCAGTTCTGTCCTTTCGCATCTGTCCCTTTTGCTCCAGCCCTGGGGGCATCGCTATCTTGGCAGCGGACTGTCCAGCAGTGCTTTTTCCATGTCTGTGCTGTCCGATGCGGTGACCATCAGCCTCGAGTCTTCTTTGCAGCTGAAACACGGCTGGTGCAGCTAAGGACTAGTTTTTAGAATGTTGTTATTATCTGATATTCTAATCAATTCACACTTGTAGTCATGTAACAGACAGACAGTGCAGCTGCAGACAGACGGCTTCAGAGGCAGCGCCAAGCAGCACTCTGGAGACAGAACTCTAGACCACGGAGAGCATAGAGGCCTGTGGTGGCCTACCTTCATCCCTGTGCAGGGAGGCAGGAAGGTCTCAGGTAAGAACACCCCCCTGAACATCTGCACAGATGCAAAGGTGCTTCAGACTTGCATCTGCCCTAGCGGGCACCCCGGCCTCAACAGCGGCTCCCCCAGAGCCTCAGCCAGTTCCGCGGTCTTCAGGAGAATCCCTGGAGGAAGCTTCCTGAGCCAGGATCCATTCAGGCCGCTAATGACTGACGGCACGATGAGGTGGCTGGCGCCTGTGGAAAGCACGAGGCCCATCATTCCTGCTGCGGATGACGGTGCACAGACCGTGATCTGGACTCTCTGCTGTTTGCTTTTCATAGTATCCTGCTTGTTCCCGCTTACAGAATTGGCCCATTGATACAGAAATAAAGCTGAGTTGTTGGGAAGATAAGTCACTCATCCAAGGTCATCAGGGTCTTCAGGCTGTAGCTGAAATTCCAATTCCGTGCAATCACAGAACTCTCCCAGTGTCCCCCATCCTCACCAGCACTGCGGGTTTCACAGGTCAGGAGGCAGATTCGGAGCTCTCCTGGTGACTCTGTCCTGTCCCTCGGGCCTCACCCCCTCTGCAGAACTTTGCAGCCTGAGCACAGCCTTCTGTGTGACCAGCGGCCTTGGAGGCTCTCAGGCACCCTGCCTCTTCTCCACTGTAAGTGCCACAGGTTACCTACACCTCCCCACAGGCAGCGCCTTCCAGGGTAACCACATCTCAGAGGAGCTGGCTGCCTGCCGTGTCTGATGCAGAGCAAGTGCCGGGGTGGGGGAGGGGGCGGGGCTTGCTGTGGTGGAACTCTGTCACTCTACCTGCCACGTCCCATCCTTCTTGAGTGTGGTTTGTCCCCAGAGGTCATGGGCTCTGTGAAAGCAGGGCCCACGTTTACACGCATTTTCATCCTCTTTGTCATTCCAGTGGTTGACACCGGCTCCCACCAGTGATGAGCCCAATCAGGGACACGAGTAAGTCCGCCAGTCACAGACAGTCCCCGCTGGCTGCCTTCCTCTCCTGCGACCTCTCCTTAGGTAACTCCCTTCAAGAGCAGCGGCGAGTGTCTGTGTTCGTGTCGCTATCTCCCACAAAATGTTACAGAAAGATCGTTCCCACTTTTGCTGAAAAACCTTAGGGGGTTAGTAAGTTCTGCTCACTCTCTTTAAGGAAAGCGTTTTTCCTGTCTTGAGCAATACCTGTGTGGCACCGTGCTGTCCACAGCATGAGAGGAAGATGCTGAATGTGGAGGGAGTGCAGGGGTGCTGCTTCCAAGGCCAGCTCTACTGGAGTCTGGTCAACATAGGCAAGAGAGAAAGGAAGTAGCCCCTGCAGGACAGGCCCAGCCCAGGCCCCTGCTGACCCTGGCCTGCTGGTCTTCCCTGGCGAGAGGCTGGGATGGGAACACGACGGGATAGGGCCCTGGGGCCATGTGGCCAGTCAGCTGACGTGGAGTGGATGAGAAGGGAGAGTGGGTTAAGCCTTAACGTCTCTCCTGCCAGCCCTCAGGAGGGCCACTGTGACCTGCGTATGGAGGGGAGGCGTCTGGGAACGCAGCTCTCGGCTCCTCCACAGTAAGGATCTGCCAACAGCCAGAAGAGCACCAGAGGGGCCCTGAGCCGCAGACGGGCTCGGCCTGAGCAGACCACACCTCCCTCTCATCCTGCAGGACCGGAGCCGAGGACCCTGCAGAGCCCGGCCCAGACCCACCAGCAGGGACTGGTTGTTGTAAGCGTTAAGTCTGTGCTAATCTGCTGCACAGCATTRGAAAGCTAAGACGAGGCGTGTCCCAAACAAAGTATCAGCAGCCGCCTCCACCTACCTACTGGTCAGGACACTAATCCTGTTATGAAGGCCAGCCCTCTTTGTGTTTTATTTGTCTTCCATGAAATCACTTTTGGATGAGGCCCTGCCCATCAGACCCCTGTGGAGTAGCAGGTCCCCGCAGAGAGTGCTGTAGTGGCTCTAAGTAAGGTCTGCCTCCTCTCCCTCCCTACCATGGTGAGTGGTCCTGGAGGACGGGCTGTTGACCTCCCCGTCAGCAAGTCGGGGCAAATATTGACTTCTGGGCTGTGAAAGGCATTTGGCTGGCATGTGGGCGATGCTCTTTCCAATAACGAGCACATCCACAGTGTAAGATGATCCCAACAGGACAATGGGTCAGTGTTTCAGTTTCCAATCTTGGCTCAGACACAGTGATTCAAAGGTCATAGCCCGAGAGAGAAAGAGACCTGTCTTAAAGCAACTGTCCTTCTGGTGCTGAGGGACAATCCAGGCAGGAGCTGTGGAGGTGACGGTGCACAAGTCAGCCGTGCCTGGCGTCTCCTGGAGTCTGACCTTCAGCTGGGCACAGGGGAATCACTGCAGAAGAAACCCAGGGAGACAAGGCATCTGCTCCGTCCTTTTCTCCCATCTCTTTCTTGAAAAGAACCCAGTCTGGGCCCAACTTTTCTTTTTTCAATCTCTGCCAACATAAATGCCAACTCCGCATTTTAACTAGGGAGTTACCATGGGGATGTGAGTGGCACAGGCAGCCAGTCGGCTATGGCACAGGAAGGGCCCAGACAGGCCGCCATCCCCGCCCGGCACACAGATGCAGCCAGGCTGGCGCGGGCCGTGGGCCGAGGGCGACGCCCAGAGGGTCCCGCGCCAGCTGACCGCCCACTCCCACTGCCTCTCTGGCCCCAGCTGGAAGTGCTGCCTTCGTCTTCCCTTGACCCTGAGGCGGGGTCTGCGAGCTGGTATCCACACCGCGTTCTCCCTGCAGCCAGGGCACGGAGGAGGGAGTGGGAGGAGAGGCCCGGAGCCCTGCGGGGCCCATGGCCCGAGGAACAGAACTGTGACGAGAAACACAGTAGAGCTCTGTGGCTTCAAGGTGGAGGTCCAGGAGAGCAGGGAATCTTTCTGTCTGACTGAAAAGGGGGTCCCATGGCAGGACTAACAGGCACACCTGACCCCCGTGATAAGCACCACCGATGGGGGCACCCTCGGGACCTGGGGAGCGGGACGGCGGCATCCGTGTTTAGGATGAACTGCAGACCTCACATGTGCCAGGCCAATTCTCAGGGTATCCTTCCAGAGCAGATGAGAAATGGTTGTCACCATCTTGCAAACCAGATGCCAAGAGTGGGCAGAACCCAAGGAATTGGGAAAGTCCTGGCTCCGGCACAGGAGGGCCAGGGCTGGGTGGTCTGTCCTTTGTGGGGTTCTGGAGCACCTGAAAGGTCCTTCATGGCGTGTTCTCAGTGGGGTGCACGGGGCTCATCACGTCACAGTGAGCAGATGCTGTCTACCAGCTGGGCCCACAGCAGGCGGCCTCCTTCCTCTCTATGCCTGAGGGACCAGACCTCCCTGTCCCTGAACTCCCGAGACAGCCCCGGCACATGCTAATCAACTAACAAATACTGAGCTGCTCTCTGCCTGTGTGGGAGGAGGAGACCACACCTCCCAACAGGCCAACCTGGTGCTCTTAGAGAAGGGTGCACTAGGGCATGCTGACTGCACCTTGCTGGTCAACTGACCAGGGGCCCCAGGTGAGACGCACGTGAGACAGGTGCTCAGTGCTGGGAGAACAACCCCCCCCCCACCAGAGCTGTCATCCTGGGGGCTCACCAGAGGGAGCAGCAGAGGGAGGAAACCGTCCCTCCAAACCTGCAGCTTCCCAGCACTGCCCCCTCTGCCTGCCTGAGACCAGCGGCCTGTCCTACCAGACCTGGCAGCCATCCTCGGGTCACTGCCTGGCTCAGCAGCAATGTGGCACAGCCAGAGCCTGTCAAGAGCGCCAACCAGAGCCCACCCCCTTCAGTGGCTCAGGAGGTCCGCCTAGCCCCAGGACACTCACCGCGCATCCAGAAACCGGGAACGCAGGATCATGACGGCCTCGCACGTGCTCTGCTTGAGCTGCATCTGGATGGAGCTGAACTTGCGGTGGATGATGCTGACCATCCGCTCGATCTCCTTTGGGGAAATGGGCCTGGTCCGGCTCTGCTCTCGGAGGAGGTTCATCACGTGGGTGGTGAACTCATTGCAGGCCTGAAATGGAGAGCACAGACGGTCCTGAGTGCCCAGGCAGGCCCGCGCGGTGGAGCTGGGCCACTCTGCTACGAACCTGTGCATGTGGAGAAAACTGGGAGAGCACGGCATCTTGTCAAGTAGATGGTGGGATAAATGACTGCCTGGAATTCCTTTAGCTCAGTGGCCCCGAGTTTTGGCCACGATTTCAATTATTTAAGGGAAAAGAAAATCCTTAATTGACTTTTTTCCTGGACTTTGCTACAGTGAAAGGTGAGAACGTAAATGCTGGTATAAAACTCACTGTGCCACCCTTGGCCCCAGTGTCAGCCACAGTGAGAGCTGGGGTCAAAGGCATCGGGAGCTCTCTGCCTTGTTCATTATCTATGATGTGGTATCACTTCCAAATATTCAATTTTGGGATGCATAAATAACCCAAAGGGTTCAAGAGCAATCACGGAATTAAAAGCTTCAGACTCTGGGAGATTTCCCGTCAGCCATTTCCAGTTTTACTCCAACCCCCACACTCTCAGCCTCCTTCTGAGGATCCACACTCCATAACACAGAGGGAGTCTGACCCCAGGGACTTCATAAAAATGACATCACAACAAGGGTTGGAGGACCCAGGATCCTCTCCGGTTACAGAACAAAATCCCACCAGCCTGGAAGTAAGACTGGAAATCAAATTTCTCTACTTCCTTACTTTACAATTGGAAAACTGTGGCCCAGAGCGGCAAAGGGACTTTTCCAAAGGCCCACAATAAGGAAAGAGAGGTAGAAGCAGGGCCCAAATGCCTCAATCACGGGCCAGAGGCTCAGAGCCCCACTTGTCCCTCTGTGGACCAGGGCCCTTCGCTGGCATCCACAGTTTGGTTTCTTTAGCTGAACAGTTAATAAAACGTCTCTTCACAGGTTAACTCAGTGACGCTGTGACACGGTATGAGATCTGTAATGAGAAAGCTCAAGAGGCCTGAACTCCAAGGCCCCAAGTCAGCATTAACAGCAAAGCACCCTTAATGCTGGCCACGCTGCGCTGCGCTTGCTGCTGCTGCCCAAAGGCCTTCGCACCCGCCAAGGGTGCATTGAGGACGTACTGGGGCACGTTCTGTTCACCTGAGGAAGACGTCCAGTTTGACTGGCCAGGCAGCTGCAGACACCCACTGGGCCGGGTCTGCACTGGAGAGCGGCGGCCTGTCGGGCCCAACCTCTGGGAGCACGCGAGGAATCGTTGCACTGGGCAGGCCTCTGCATGCCCGCGAGCCTGGCTCTGCCCATCCCTAATCCTCTGGCATGTGGCTCACCTGGCCTTGGAGGGGCTGTGAGAGCGCAGGCTGCCTGTTCCCGGCCCTGACGCTCAGGTGGGGTGGGATCACAGAGAGGTCCTCAACCTCTCTGTGCGTCTTCCTCCTTCCTGGTGAAATGGGAGACAGCCTTGAAGGGTGTGGCACATTAAATGGGTCTCTCTCTGTGTGCCTGGCCCTACAAAGTCCTGGCACAACTATGGCTTCAAAACAGAGTGCCTGGAAACCCAGTCTACCACTGTGGCCGGCTCCAGCCTCCCTCCTGGGGGAAGTCAGAGTGTGATGAACACCGGCCTCCCTTCCATGTGCCTGCTGGGACCCATGCAGAACTGAGGAAAGCGTGGTACAAACACGAGACCTGTCCTAGCAGCTGTCCCCAGCCAACCTCGCGCCCAGAACTGAGAGAAATTACACATGGCTGCCAGTGAGCTGCACCCCAGGGGCCAAGCAGAGTGAGGGAGGCACAGGCTGGACCCCCACCATCTTGCTGGAGGAGCAGCCGTCCATGGGCTGAGGCCCCCACCCGGCTTCACAGACTGCAAGGGAGGAGGGGTGGGGGGACACAGTGCTAGCTGGCCATCTGTGCTTCACTGGGGTCCAGTTAGGGTGCTTCCCCAGGCCTTCCTGCTCTGCCGTGAGCAGGCCCTGGAGACTGTGCACACTGCTGGGGAGCAAGGCAGCTGCTGAAGAGCCTCCCAGGAGTGACAGAGGCCCAGAGAGGTTGCCCCAGACAGAACACAGGCCTCCAGCTGCAGGGCCCGATGCCCAGAGCCCTGCCTGGGTTCCCCACAGTGGGTCGCTTCCGGGAGGTCAGGTGGTCTCAACTCCATGGGGTGCCAGCATCTGGGCTCCAAGCAGCAAGTTAGTAGAGCCCTGCCAGACCCAGGGTTTCCACGGCAGACTCAGGAGGAAGGACACTGGTCGCCTGTCCCCACCCCCCCGGGCACAGTTCTAGCACAAGGGAGGTCTGGGAAGAGCAACCAGAGAAGACGGCCTTTCAGGGAGGCCTGCAGCAGAGGACAAGTTGAATCCTGCTCTCCAGCCTCCAGGCCTCTCCCTCCACTCCTTCCACTGTCCCCACCAAAAGCAAGAGGGATCTTGGGGGCTGCTTAGCCGTGCACCAAGTAAACCCAGAGCAGCTCAGCATCGAGATGGAGCTCGCCAGCGGCATTGTTTACAAAACCTGGAGGATCCTGCAAAGCTGCCGGAGGATCATTTTCACAAACAGCCCTGGGAATACGTTCAGCTCTTGGCTCCGAGGTTCTGCTACCCCAACATGCCACCAGCAGCACCGCTGAAAGTGCTCTCCTGCAGCCCACTCCACAGACAGAGCACTCCTTCCACTCCACTGAAAGCCGCCAGAAGCCTCTCCCCAGAGGCCTCGGGCTCCGGGGAGGGCTGTGACAGCCGACTTTCCTGTGGTCATCTGCCACCACCATTCCCCCCAAAAAATGAAGTCCAGGCGTCAGCTGGTAAACCACAGACCTGGCCATTCCGCACAGGAGCCAGTAGGCCACAGGGTGACGTCCTACTGGACCAGGGTGTCCTGCTTTTCGAAAGGCCCACGAGGAGTTTTACAGAAGACACATCTCGGACACACCAGATTCTCCACAACCTGCGACTTCCTACCATTAACAACACAGCTAACTCTAATAACTCATTAAGCAGAACGTGCCCCTGCAAATAAGGACAGGTGGCTTCGGTACTTCCCGAAATAGTAAATACCAACGGCTGCCATGACAGGCCCACAGTTTGCTCGGTGTCTAGGGACTCTTCTTATGTTTCTAACTTCTAACATCTTTATTATGTAGAATAGGTCAGTGCCGGGAAAAGTTCCTCCAGAGAACGTCTGTACCCGCCTGCCTTGGGTGCCAGCATCTAGCCCAGGAAATCACCCAGGGGACAAGACATCACACTGTTCCAGGTGCAGCCAGGTATCCCAGAGGGTGCCCTGGCAAGGGTCAGCACCAGAGCTCAGGGCGCTCTGACTGGACATGGGACCAGGCACTCTCTGACCTCTGACCTCCCCTTCCTACCCGACATGGAAATGTGATGGCACCTCCTGTCCAGGTCCCCACCCCCAGAACGGCCTGGAGGAGCCAGGGCAGCCAAGTCAGGCCCAGGGCAGCCATGGGATTGGTGGTTGGGACACGCTCCTGCTGACAGTTTTACTCATTCACAGGAGAATGGCGCGACAGAGGGGCTCGTGGGGAGAAGAGTGTCTCCTGAGCTGCCGACACAGCCAGCCCCCGGCCCCTTCCAACCTGACGCGCTGCCATCCCCAGAGTGAGGAGCCACTCGGCTCTTCCAGCGCCTCCAGCAGGAGTGTCTAGAGGGTCAGGCCCGGGGCCAGGTGTCCTGGTGGAGGTGTAGAAGAATCCCCAGGAAGGAGAACCCAGGCCAGAGCGTCTCCATGGGAGTGTGCCCCGTCACCTAACCTCAGGTGACCCAGTAGGTAGGGCAGCCCCAGCTGGCAGCAGGGTGCAGGTGGGGAAGCTGGGTGAGCAGACAAGCTCTGAATACTGGGACCAGGGTGTCTGCTGAGGCAGCGCTGTGCCGAGATCCTGGGGTGGCGCTCTGGGCCTTGGCTGGCCTGCTCTCATCCCTCCTTCGCCCTCCGCCTGGAGGCCTGCATTGACCCTGGCGGCTTTGGGCTTCACGGCCATCTCTCCACCCAGCAGGGGGACTCTGTAGAAGTCTATTTCAAGGGGGATAGGAGTATTATAATGAAACTTTCTTCATTTTAAATTTTAAAATGCCTATTTCTATTTTAAAATTTAAATTTTCTATTAAGTTTCATTTGCCTCCCACCTAGACAGTCCTGCGTGGGCTGCAGGGGGTTTTCTACCTTTGGCTCTTCCTCCCTTTTCTTTTTTGATCCATAAAAATGAAGGAACAGAACATCTGATATTTGGTGGGAGGAAGTTCACGTACAACTTCAGCACCACGTGTGTCCAAGAGGTGGCCACTGAAGGACAGGCACAGGCCTGGTGCCACGGCCTCCTGAGAGAGAAAATGGTGTGAGGTCACTCTGCCCCGGCTGGCCAGCAGAGCTCTGCATGACCAGGACACCACGTTTGCACATGGTGCTCTAGAGCCTTT